TCGTCTCCGTCTCCGTCTCCGTCTAGTCTCTCTGTCTGTCTATCTATCTACATATCTGTCTATCTATCAGTCTGTCTATCTCTCTCGCCATTCCCCTCTAACACCGCCAACGCCACCACCACCACCACCACCACCACCACCACCCTCCTATTCCCCATCACCCGCTCTCCGTCACCCTCGTATACAGCACGCGCTTACGCACTTACTCACAAACACGCACAAACGTGAAATCACTTTTCTAAACCTCTTGGCTTATCGCCGTCCTCGCTGCACTAATTATGTGTTTAACGCGATTAAGCGCGCCACTCGTACACGCCTTTAATGTGGGTCATTCGATTTTTTCCAATCGTATTCCGCTTCAGTTGCGCCTTAAATGCGTTCCGCCACCATCTCGAATTCAACTCTTTACTAACACTTTCGAGCGCCCTGGTACGTCTCGCGGCTGAAATTGTTACTCCATCCAAGCTGCCTAGACAATTGATGCCAGCGCTTTTAATAAAACTAACTCGGAGCAATTATCCAATACTATGATTATTGTCGATATTCTTATTATTGTTGTTGATAAATATTATTTTTATATTCACGATTGCGTGACGAAGAGCCGACGTTAATAATGCCATTAACTCGGGCGCGATTTCACTCAACGAGATCGTAAATTCGAAATTATAAGCCTAATTAGGCGAATCTTACAAGCCAGACGAATTACGACCTTCGGATTATTTATCGTATCAACGACGATCGTCGCCTCTCCTCGGCGCTTCCAACCATCGGCGGCTTTAAGTTCCGGCCAAGCGAGGCCCAACCGTCGCGCTAATCACAATCCAGTAAAACAATAAGGCGAGGAGTCGCGGCGGCTGGTGGGCCGGGAGGGACCGAAGAAACGGAGAAACTACGCGACAGCGCCGTGAGGAAACAACATTATGCATTCGTAGCGGAAAAAGGATGCCGCCGTGTGGCTTACAATGTATGTGGCTGAGCGCTCGCGCGCACGAGCTCACCTACTACGCCAAGCAGAGTTTCACAATCATTTTCATAAGCATAAAAATATGGATTCCGACACGAGAAAATAGGCTTCCGCGTTGTGGCGCTTACGTCAGGGTGAGCTCGCAGCCTTGTTCGCTTGAACCGTCGATGCTCAAATGGCACTTCGGGTCCCTCGACTTTTCCGCCTTCTCGTCCGCGAGCAATTATTGGATGGGAGGCCGTTCCCGGGCGTCGCCGCACCATCAATTAAGCCCTGGGCCCCTTTACATTGTCCACGCGGTGTAATAACCGCCAAGTCGTTGATCGGCGGTCGCGATGCTGGAGGAGGTCGTACGAGGACGTACGAGGACGTACGAGGACGTACGAGGACAAACGAGGATGTACGAGGACGTACGAGGACGCTTTCGACGGTTTTCGACGGCGAGCCCGACAAAGTCTCGTCGAAAATCAATTTTAATTAAGCCGGGATTGAGAAGGCGCGCCGCGCCTTTCCCCCGACTAACGGACAAATGCTCGGCTCGCTTTTATTTTTGCCCCTCGCGCGGGCATGAATCAACGCGCGATATGCACCCGGCGATAAAACAGATGCAAACGCCTTTATTCTTGCCAATCAGCCACGAATTTATCGTTTACGACTGTGTGCGAGAGTGCGGGAGCGCGAGCGTGAGCGCGGCTGCCGAGTTGACAGAGTAACCACAGATGTTTTTACGCTCGTCGCGATGTATTCCTCTCGCCTATTAGAAATGCTGATACTTGGGGACGTTAATGCGACGACGCTTACGCATTAAATTCTACTCGAGCTCGCGCATATTTCCTAGCCTCTCGCCAATTCTCCTTCTATTAATTGATTGTGTTCGGTGCTGCGCCGAGCATCTACATTACGGCATTAAATGCAAATCAATTATCCTAAAAGCATGGACGCATTAATTAGATGCCTCCTGCTTATATTATGTAAATAAACTCGCCGATAAATAGTTTTATGGTTAATACAGTAAGATGTGTACTGAATGTAAAAAGTGAAGCGTTTATCATTTAAAGTATCGTGCATGATTTTCACGAATTATAACGCTCGAGTGCACATATCAAGGATGCAAAATGGCCAGTGTAGCCAACTCTAGGGAAGCCAACTCTCTTGGCGCGCACTAGCGTTTTCCCAACTCTAGGAAACGAGAAGCAGCAGAAGAAGAGGAAGAGAAAGAAGAAGATGATGAAGAAGATGATGAAGAAGAAGAAGAAGAAGAAGAAGAAGAAGAAGAAGAAGAAGAAGAAGAAGAAGAAGAAGAAGAAGAAGAAGAAGAAGAAGAAGAAGAAGAAGAAGAAGAAGAAGAAGAAGAAGAAGAAGAAGAAGAAGAAGAAGAAGAAGAAGAAGAAGAAGAAGAAGAAGAAGAAGAAGAAGAAGAAGAAGAAGAAGAAGAAGAAGAAGAAGAAGAAGAAGAAGAAGAAGAAGAAGAAGAAGAAGAAGAAGAAGAAGAAGAAGAAGAAGAAGAAGAAGAAGAAGAAGAAGAAGAAGAAGAAGAAGAAGTGGAAGAAGAAGAGGAAGAAGATGATGATGATGATTATAATGATGCTGGAGAAAACGAAGAAATAGAAGAAGAAGATGATTATGATGATGATGATGACGATGATGATGACGATGACGATGATGATGATGATGATGATGATGATGATGATGATGATGATGATGATGATGATGATGATGATGATGATGATGATGATGATGATGATGATGATGATGATGATGATGATGATGATGATGATGATGATGATGATGATGATGATGATGATGATGATGATGATGATGATGATGATGATGATGATGATGATGATGATGATGATGATGATGATGATGATGATGATGATGATGATGATGATGATGATGATGATGATGATGATGATGATGATGATGATGATGATGATGATGATGATGATGATGATGATGATGATGATGATGATGATGATGATGATGATGATGATGATGATGATGATGATGATGATGATGATGATGATGATGATGATGATGATGATGATGATGATGATGATGATGATGATGATGATGATGATGATGATGATGATGATGATGATGATGATGATGATGATGATGATGATGATGATGATGATGATGATGATGATGATGATGATGATGATGATGATGATGATGATGATGATGATGATGATGATGATGATGATGACGACGACGACGACGAGGAGAAGCAGGAGGAAGATGAAAATGACGATACCGCTTCCGTGTTACTACTATCCAACATCTTGCACGACCTTAACCCATTCGCGCCTATAATAATTATACGACGAGCCACCGCAGGTCTTAGCAGTCCCCTTTCTTCGATTCTCCTGGCTAATAAAATTCATCGGCACATGTGGGATGCGCCATCGTGAACTCGTCGCTGCCCCTCCCGGCCTCCGCCCCGAGCACGTGCGCGTCATCCTCTGATAAACGGCTTTACGACGCTGGCGTGTCAGTGACCCTTGACGATCCCGCAGCTCGGGGCCTGACACCGAAGAGGAGACGAGGAGGGACATCACCTGCGCGCATCTACAAGACAAGATACTCGTGAAGATGGGATCGCCCGATTACGCCCTGGTCCGGCATCGAGATTTTGACTTTAATTGACGGGAAAATAACTCGCCCTTCCCACTCCACCTTATCCTCGCTCTCGCCGAAAAAAAAAAAAAAAAATAAAAAAAAATTCTAGAACCAATGGAGCGTCCAGTCCAGCGAGACAAGGCCGGCATCGTTTCGTGGATCGTGGATCGGCGTAAGGAGCGAAGCCGCCGTCTGCCCAAGTACCCCTATAAATTAATTAAAACGCGATTCTGCGCAATCCGATGGTCGCCAAAAGAGCTACTTGGAGTAGCGAGACGTTGATAAAATTACCGAGAAAGAGACAGATGAAACGGCGACTACGTAAGTAGTTAGGCTACGTACGATGCGCGAATATCGACGCTCGGCGCACGCGCGCCTGGGGGTGTGGGTGGGGGGGGGGGGGGGGGGGGGGGGGGGGGGGGGGGGGGCTCTTGATTATTCGCGTTGTCAACAATAAGACGCGTGCAGCGAACCGAAGGGAACTTGGCGCACTTTGCGCTGAGAAACGCTGAGAAAGAGCTAAATTCACTCCCAAAGCAATTAACCCAGTGCGCAGCAGCGAGCGCGTGCTTCGCACATAATTACTCAATAAGAATGCGCGTAAGGTTGGATGATAAAAATGAAAATTCATAAGGCTTTTTATATAAAGTTTTACTGTTTTTAGTCACAACTTTATACCTCACTCCCTCTCACCCACCCGCCCCTTCCCCACCGCCACGTCACTCAATTGAATGGGAAACTGCGGGAGCGCCGACGGTAGTTTGCATTGTGTCTTCGCAAGGGGCTTTCGCCTATCGAGCATTGTTATGTACGCAGATTTTTTTCTTTATTCTTTTTTTTTTTTTTTGCTTTTTTTTTTTTTTTTTTTTTTTTATTTGCAGCAGTAGCAGCAGCAACAGCAACAGCAACAGCAACTTCATATGGAAAGGCGTAATTATCGTTTCTTCTGCCCGCAGTCGCCGTAATTTCCTTTTCCACCACTAGGCGAGCCAGCCAGGCTTTTTATCTCGCTACGGGAGATTGCGATTTCCGTTGAGTCGCGCGGGGCCTGTTTTTCGGCGCGGACGGGGAATTAATAAGAGGCGGCGACGATTCACCGTTTGACGTCGTGAGTCGGCGATTCGATGGCCGGCCTTCCGATACGTGAGCCGACGTGAAAGAAGCGCGACACGCGGAAACGCGGCTTTGCATGGGCCCCGGGGGAAGCACTTCCAAGGAAAGCCGCCTAGCGGTATCCTCACCCAAGGAATTCCTCGATGCTTTAATCCCTTGCGTTACGATGATGACGAAGATGATGACGACGACGACGACGGCTAGGGTAGCCAAGCCAATAACTATATAAAATCCATCTGCCCCCGACAACCGAAGCTTAGGCCTTTTGACTTTTTTCTTATTTCCTGCAATTTGAAAATACCTGCTCTGCCGTAGGCACTTGTCGTCGGCTGCGAGGCTCTGCTCGTGATGTACAGTTAGATGGGTGCAGGCGCGAATCCGTATGTGCGCGGTTGTGATGGTGGTTGTGGCGATGATGATGATAGTAGTGATGGTGAAGGAGGCGGATTATTGAGAAGGAGGGGGGGGGACGAACGAACGAACGAACGAACGAACGAAGGAACGAATGCGCGAGTGCGTGCGTGCGTGCGTGCGTACGTGTATGAATGCGTAAAGTCTGAGGGAACAAAAGAAGCCCGGAGGGAGCGACGATGCTCGAGATTGGAAATTGAAGGGGGAAAGAAAAAATTGTGAGGGCAATCGCCTTTTTCCTCCTTTTTCGGTACCGTACACGCGGTAATGATATACGATCTTTCTGTTTGCGGTCGTGGAGGTCGTGAGCGTGAGGCGACCCAGAGTCCAGGAGGATGCGTTTGCATGACGAAGAAGCGGGACAGTGCGCCGGGTATTCGATAACGCCTGCTCTCTCCACCAACCCCCCAAGCCCCACCCCGCCCCGTCCCGCCCCAACTCCGCCAACCATTCTAATTGTATCCATTGGCTCGGGATTTATCTTTTAGACGAGGAGCTTTTTACATGGAAAATTCTGATTCTCAATCTTGCCGAATGAGTGTCATGTTTTTATTGCTTTATTTCTAAGAAGGCGTTTGGTAGCTGGAAATCAGTATACTAAGTCGCTTGGTAAATAAGGAAAAATCCATACGAGACTTTGGGACGTATAAAAACGAGAGGCCTAGCGATTTCGAAAAATACTACCTGTAAATGGATGTTCTGTGTACAAGGCATTATAACTGAAAATAGAACGGTTGTAATGCGTACAATAATAGTGACGGGTATTGATTTTAATTTCGTCACGTCAAAAAATTATAAAATACAGACGAATGGTACGTAATGACAATAACATCAATAATATCAAGATTATTAATATATTTGCCAATTGTATAATCATAATATATTGTATTTTTTTCTGTCATTTTTATTTTTATTGTTTTTTTGCCATAAAAATAAGATATGAATTGTTTTCGTATTTTACGAAGTAAGTAGCCAACGATTTACAATTAAATGTTTGCATACAATCGATAAGTAAGCATAAATGTTTCTGCATTTTTTTGTAAATAATTATTAATTATTCGCCTGAATTGATCGTTGGCACTTGAACAATTGTATATCTCATATCTTCAATGCCAGTGTCAAGGGTTGACATAAAGTCTTCAAAATAAACAGCCAAGTGTTATTAAAAAAAAAAAAGTAAAGCCACCTTGCTTTTTTACCATACTTTTAGAGTTTATTTGGAATTTCTTTTAATGGAAAGGGGCCACATTTAAAAACCACGCAGGCAGTATTTGCAAATCGAAACGATGCCTATAAATAATAATTAAGATAATGTCCATATTATCTGTTACATTAACTAGTAAAGGATTAGTAAACGTCGTTATTTCAATCGCTTCGAAGACATAAGCTTTTCTTTTTGCTGCTTGTGAAAGTTATTTACAATCAATTAGTGCCCTCCATTACTCGATTACATTGCTTATCAGGTAAAATAAGGTAATGATGACTTTTACATTCCTGGGGCATGTAATAATTGTATTTACATTCACGTCAAAACAACCAGAAATTTGGATTTTTAAAGATACCTGGGAAGTGGCAGGGACAACAAACGAGGAATTCGAGCCTTAGAAAAAGCAATCCTTCCACGAAGCCTAAACAAATCTGTTGCCGCGCATTGAAATTTTGATTTTCCGCGCTGCCTCGACGCAAATATAAAATTCCTCCGAAGAATCCATTCCATAAACACGACCCTCTCGTCACCCTCTCCACTATGCCAGTCCCCCTCCCCCTTATCGTCCCCCGCCCTGAATCCGAAAAAAGAAGGCAAGACATAAAGGAAGAAAGGAAGAAAGGAAGAAAGGAAGAAAAGAAAGGGGGGAGAGGTAGAGTGAGTGAGTGAGGGTGAGAAGAGCAAGAGAGAATACGAAAAAGAACGAAACTGAAGAATCGGAGTATGGTGCGGGTATCGAGTCACCTGTTACTCTCCTCTCGTCAGGCGCCGACGTACTACTCTGCCTTGAGACGGGAATGAAAAGGAGGCGTTCGTAGCCACTGAGAACCTCTGCAAGAGCGAGGCCCGCCGCAAAAGAGAACAGCGCAGCTCCAGTTCACGCTGCACGTGCAGCAACAGCGACAGCGGCAGCGGCAACAACAGCAGCAACAGCCGTAACAGCAGTTACGGTGGCGGCTCGCTCTTCTCTTCTCTCCTCTCCTCGCCACTCCTTATCCCTCCTCGCCTCTCCGCCCCTCTCCACTTTGCTCCTCCCGTTCGACCGGAAGTCGATAAAAAGGCCCCGCTTCACCCTCGTCACTCACCGACCGAGCACCAAGTGAGCGAGCTCGTCAAGAAGGGAGGGACGGAGAAAGAGAGAGAGAGAGAGAGAGAGAGAGAGAAAAGCTATTGCCGTTGCTGCCGCTGCTCTCTGCCTCGTCATGGGAACGGCCCATCGGTCCACACGAACCTTAAAGTCCCGGGAGGACTCGAGTGGCTGCCCTCCTCTCTACTCCTCGACCCCTTGTCCCATCCGGCATCAGCGCCTGAGGTTTTGACTCCCTTTCTTTTCCGAGCGATCCCGCACATGCACCGATCCCGGCGCTCGCCACGCACAAAAACGAAGACCAGGCACCGAGAAATCGTTGAACGAGCCTCGAAAACAAGAAGATAATAATAATGAGAGAGAGAGAGAGAGAGAGAGAGAGAGAGAGAAGGTGTAGAGCGGATCTGCGTGTCTCCGAAATCGTCGGATCGTAAACATGGGAGTAAGCCTGTGGACCACTCGAATTTCGATGTATAATAATACGGAGGCGTGCGTTCTCGCTTCCACCTGTCGTCGACATGGAGCGTGATAACGATTAAAGTTCGGGTCTCCACTTGAACAATAGCTCTCTCGCTGGCTTCAATCTTTAATTGAGCCGTTTAACGAAGCGCCCAACATCAAAATACACGGGAAGAATTGCGTGGGTGTAAGGAGCGCGCCAAAGACGAGAAAGAGCCTACGTCGTACGGACACTTGTTGCTCGCCTATGAATCTCTCGAGATTTAAGGGACCCACGCCGCCCCTCCTGCCTGGCTCTCGTTCTATTTTTATTCCATCGTCTCAGCATTTGTTTACGTCCGATATTTATGGTTAACGAGTGTGCAAACGCCTCTACAGTCGGACTATAGATCAGATCGCAAGCCACTTGCCACGTTCCCAGTGCTCGATAATGTATCTCGACATAATGGCGAAGCTTCTTCGGGAGAAGAAGGCTCGTAACTACCGTATCGATAATGACGCTTCCGTGCCTCCTCAGCATCCGCAAATGACCGGCTACGATCTTCAATGAGCGCAATTTAAACACTGTACAACGCATGGCGGCACTTATTGGCCTTGCGTAGCATCCCATTTTCCCCGCTCTTACGGTGCTCTCGAAAATACGTACCGAGACAACCGGATTAAAGTGAAATTCCACGCTAATTGCAAAAGTCATGAGTCTCCGAGAGCAATGGGATGAATAATGAAGGCCGTTTCTGTTTAGGTCGCCGGCCCGCTACGTTACGGATTTATTTTGGGCAGGAAACGACGGTTATACAGTTCCCAGACGATGTGACTCTCGAGTTTGCCCGCTGACAAAGCGGAGATGCGCGACTCTGGCTGGGCTGGCGAACTAAGCGGCTTTCAAGAGGCGAGAATCTTGATTTTTGAACAGCGTCGTCGGTCAACGACAGGCACAATGGATCGTGCGCGAATAGGTGGAAAGACTCGGTATAAAGGAGTGAGTGGGCACAGCACGCACCTGCGTCGGCTTGTTATTGGTCGGGAAAACAGTTTACACTCCTCGTTGATTTGCCACCGCGACGGCTGACTCACTTTGGCGAGGGCGCAGGGGAGAAAGGCAAACACACACGGTCGTGTCGAGTTGGGAGCGGGTACGGGGACCGGGAGGACGGAGAAACATATCCTCGGGGCGTATAAAAAGTAAATAAATAAATAATCTGTCGTCATTGTGGAGAGGCGAGAATCGAGAAAAAGAGCGAGCCGAAAATGCTGGACGAGGAGGAGCGAGGAGAAGCAAAGTGCCCCGTCATTCATCTTAAATCGCCGCCGCGCCGAATCCTTATAAATACCGCGGTAGGAGGGAGTTGTGCTGCGCGGTCCGGTGGGGGGAGGGGTGGGCGGGGAGGGGGGGGGGGGAGCGAGAAAAAAAATCACACTTTCCAGGGTAGGACAATGCGCGCATTATTATACGTCGCACCTTTCGAGAAAAATCCCGGAGAAAGAGAGTCAGAGCAAAGTGCAGGTCGGGACAAAGAGCGCGGAAGGTGGGAAAAAGGTGCCGAGGGACGAGTAACATCGTAGGGCCGAATATTCCCTTTTTCCCCTGGGGAGAGCGGAGAGGCCTCGACCTCGCATCGATTAATGCCGAACGGAGCCGTGCGCATTGTTCGCCAAGGAAAACATTGTTAACGCGCCATTGTCACTCGCTTATACGCTCCTTTCCTTTCCTTTCCTCCTCCTCCTCCTCCTCCTCCTCCACCCCCCCCTCCTCCCCCTCCTTCTCCTCCCCCTCCCCTCTCATCCTCATCCTCATCCTCCTTTCCTTCTTCATCTCCACCTTGTCCTCCTCATCCCCGTCCCCGTCCCCAAACCTCATCCTCCTGTTCCTGCTCCAGCTCCTGCTCCAGCTCCTGCTCCTGTTCCTGCTCCTGCTCTTGCTCCTGCTCCTGCCCCTGCCCCTGCTCCTGCCCCTGCCCCTGCCTACGCTCCTCATGCCACCGTCACTACCGCCATCACCTCTCGTTTCTCGAAAGTCTTCGTCTTTCTTTCTCGCACTTCACAATAGGGTGCAGTCCAGCCTCCTCCTTTGAAGAACGCGGAAGTCCGCGACGCAGGACGCCGGTCAGTTTCTCTCTCCCTCTCCCTCTAATTTCTCTCGCTTGCACGACCACAGTTGGCCCTTGCGCGTGAGCGTCTGCGTGTGCGTGAGCGCGCGTGTGTTAAACGGGGATTACAGAGTTCTGGGAAGAACGTGGTGTCTGTTACGAGGACGACGAACAAGAGGAAGCGC